AATAAACACTAATGAACATATATTTAACCTAATTAACATAAAATGCATAAATAAAAACTTACCTTACCTAATGCCAACGAAGAACCGAAGCTGTTATGAAAATGGCGAAGAGGGAGAGGAGTGGATCACGAAAGGGAAAGGCAGAAATTTATCTAAAGCTAAGTCGTCCGGTTAACGGGCGACTTATAAGTCGCCCATTAAATGAGCGACTAACTTTAAATCATCTAATTGCCACATCATCTACCACGTCGTTCTTTGTATTAGACCTAAGTCGCCTTTCAAACGAGTAATTTTGCCTATTTTTAAATTCCTTCAGCACCATGCTTAATCTTATAGTTAACTCACTAGTTATGCCTACTTTAAAAATTTGTGAAACAACAATTATAAAATGCCAAAGAAAAGGGCAAATGCAATGTTTCCTTCCCTTTTTTTTTTGGCACGTTGCTTGAGGACAGACTCCTTTCTGCCACAACAAACTTTTTTTTTTTCACATGGGTGGCAGAGATTCCTTTTTCTCTTTACCTTAAAGCTATGAGGAAGTGGAGAGGCTGTGAAATTGGGCAAATTAATAGGTCGGACATCTAATTAAAACTTGTTACGTAGTATGTGCTTTGAATGTGCATTTAGACTGTGCTTTGATTGAGTCTTAAGTGCACTTTGATTGCACTTCACCTGCGCTTTAACTACACTTTTTTACTGCGCTTTGACTGTACTTTACCTATGTTTTTGACGCTCTTAACTTAAAATAATATTTTATTAGAACTTCCCGTGATCGGACCTAATAATTTATCGTGAAGTTGTATAAGGAAGCTTGGCTGATAAGAGCAGAGATTTGGCCAAACAACAGAACTCGACATCCAGGGGAGTTGCTGACTGAATAGAAGACTGGAGTGATTGCAGGAAGGAATCTAGAGGAAAAGCTGTCACTCCACCAGGAAGGAATCTAGAGGAAAAGCTATCACTCCACTACACTTCATTCACTAAAATGAGGAAGAAGGCGGCGGTGGGCCTCGGCTGTTTGAGCTGCTTGTGGCGTGTAGTTGGATGAATAGTTGGCTGTGATGAGTGGAGGTCAACTGCTGCTATTTCTCGTGAAGTCCAAGATCAACAAGATAAGAGGCCCTCACTACAGTAAGGATCAGTAAGGCTTGGACGGATGGAGAATTGATGTTGTTTATCTATTTAGGAATCTAGTTTTGTTAAAAATTTATCAAGTCAATGCCTACATTGGTGATATTTCACCAACGAATTAACTCCAAAGGATAGGCATTCATTAATTGGCTAAAAATCAACTCGGTATGCATAATTTTCTCAATTTATGTGCATTTTGCCTCAAAACTCGCCTCATTTCATGTGTCGATTTCATGATAAAATTTTGTTTAAACAAACAAATTTGTAGTGCATTTAGGGTATTGACGATGTTCCGGCCGAAAAGACGCATTCCGTTTCACAATTGGACGTCATTTGACCAGCATCGAGACTAAATTTTCTCGAAAAGCATATAGTCGCTTTGGAGCCGTTTTGATTTGCTTGCACAACCTTAATTATACAAATTGGTAATGAATTTAGAGTATTGATGACATTTCGGACACAACGACGAAGTCCGTTTGTCAATCAGACGCCATTTGCGTAGCCCCAAGCGATCTTTTCCTTCAAATTCATGCTTTGCCTCGGGATATGTGTCGACCTCCATGCATATTTTAATTTGAACAAATTAGCTATCATCCGTAGGTATTTAGGATGCTCAAAATGTCATGTCGAAGTTTGTTTTGCGCTCGAAATTTGTTTGGGCAGTGTTGGAGCCTATTATCATCGATATGTGTGTTTGTCTCAAAATTCATTCCAGCAATCTGAATGATCTAATTTGAACATAGAAAGTGTAGTTCTTGAGTGTTCGTGATATTCCGGTCGCAATGGTGAAATCTGTTTTGCGAACATACATCATTTGGACAGTGTTGAGGCTAATTTTTGTCAAAATTTATGTTGTTGCCTCGAGAATTGTGCCACCAATCGGATGACCTAATTTGAATATAGAAAGTGTAGTTTTGAGTATTCGTGATATTTTGGTCGCAATGGTGAATTCTTTTTGCAAACGGACATCATTTGGATGGTGTCAAAGTTGATTTTCCTCAAAAATCGTGTTGTTGCCTCGGGATATGTGTCACCAATCTGAATGATTTAAATTGAGCATAAAAAGTGTAGTTCTTGAGTATTCGTGATATTTCGAAAGCAATGGTGAAATCTGTTTTGCGAACGGACATCATTTGGACAGCATCGAGGCTCATTTTCTTTGAAATTTGTATTGCTGCCTCAGGATCCGTGCCACCAATCTAAATGCTTCAAATTGAATAATCAAAATATAATTTTTAGAGGTTAACAGCGTTCTGGATGCAACAACGAAGTCTATTCATAGATCCGACATCATTTGATCGGCATAGTGCTTTAATTTTGGGTGTCGGACATCCTTTGTAATCGATCTGATCTGATTCGATTGCGAGGGGCCTCGACCTAGTAGAATTTGATGTTCTGATCGCAATGCAACTATCCGTTTGGTATTTGGAGGTCATTTAACCCTTTAAGTGGTGCGTCACACCAACCCACGTGCTGCTTGATTTATCATTCTCGTCCTTTTTTGCGTGTAGCTTGAGTGGCAGGGGTCAACACCTTGTAACTTTTTAACTTCAACAAACTTTTCCATTTGGAAATATATAGCCACCTTAGTTGCTTAAACTTTGATATTTTTCAAAGAAAAGAAATTATCATAACACACCAATAACTTTACACTTCTCCCATTCTTAGAAACTCTTTGATAGCATTACAAAATTTTCATCAATTGTATGCTTCTTGGTTTTCTACATATCTCCAAAAACATAGAAAATATCACAAAGAACAATGAAAAATCTCTAGGGTAAGCCTAAAGGTTTTAATGAAATTTGGTTAATAAATGTGCCACACATTTGTTAGATAAAAAAAAAGAACAATATAGATACAATAAGTTCAAAATTAGCTAGGTTGTGTTAAAGATATTTATTCTCGTAGTCCTCTTGATTACGTGGGAGATACCTAGGAATCATGAAACTAATATATACCAAACATCACATCACATGGGCTAAATTAATCAAGTCATATTACTATCATGACGGAATTTAACAAGTCTCCACCAACTGAATCAAATCACCTAAAGAGTAATTTGACAAGGCGCATCTTTATTTGACAAATGAACTTCACATTTATTAGTTATTATAGCCATTACAGAAGAATTCCCCAACTATCTCCTCAATAATTCAAGCATGAAGGCTATTTGCTCAACTAATAAAATCGTTGATGGAAGTCACCTAAGCATGCAAAAAACTACTTGCCATCTCATAGTGAAGTCATCAAGACTTCATCTGAGAAGATTTATTCTCAAATAATACATCCATCACATGGAGCTTATCAAAAGCTTTCTATGAAAATTTGATAGCTACAAACAACTGGGTGTATTTTGGTTACATCAAATAGTTATTAGATACTATTATATTATTGTATTTGTATGTAATTATTTTTGTAGCACTAAATCTTATTATAGACTCAACCCTAAAAATCTAAGCTAGGGTTATAGATTTCTACTTCGAAAGCAAGACGAAAATGTCATCCTTTCGCATCCGGGCTGATTCATGACGTGGACAAGCCAATGCAAGTCTTTTTTTTTACTTTTAAGCCAATTAAGGCGAACACATACGCAAGTTTGCTTACAACCTAAAAGACCTAATTGATAATAAAAGCTCTCAACGAATAGGTCAAAATGAGTTGTGTGTCGAAGCAATAGTCAACAGCTAAAGTTTAAAAAGGATTTAGATACTCTGATTATCACGCAAGCTTGATAATAAAGTCATGAAATATTAATTAAACGGCTGAGATTGCTTCAGCTGAGATTGCTTCAGCTGAGATTGCTTGATTTAAAATTATATTTTAAAAAATAAAATAAATTTAATTTCAGCTATTCAAAATGAATTGAATTGCTCAAATCTTTAAGCTTTGATACGCACTTATCATGATAATTAAATAGAATTGGCTATACAATCTTAAGCGCTACATGACAAGTGGAAGTTAGCTTCTGAATTTTCGTTAAAAAAAAAAAAATCTGTGAAATCTACCAGAGCTCAAAATCCTCAATGAATATAATCACCTCAATAGAATACATTTTTGAAAAGCTATGATGCACAGACACGGACACGGCGACACGGACACGGACACGGGACATGTTAGTTATTGAAAATATAGGACACGGGTTGGACACGTTATTATAGTTTTTATATTTAAAAAATAGTGTATAAAAATTAAATAAGTATAATTTTAAAAATAATTTAAAAATAATAAATCATTTAACTAGAATTTGTGCTTAATATGATTAGTATTATGATGTCGAGAGTCAGGCGTCGATATCGTTTATCAGTCATCGATAGAGGAGATGAAAATACCTTCACTGCCAAAAAGAAATTAAAATGAGAATATTCGATGATTGGGTATTAAGTGCGGACGTTGATTTGGTGTTGTGGATAGGAAATAAGAAATTTATTTTAAATCCCGCCAAATACAAGAAATTATATTTAAAAAAATTCATAAAATATTTAAGATACGCGTGTCCAATTTGTATTTAATATTTATTAATCGGACACATTTTCGGCGTGTCCGACACGTGTCGGAGGAGTGTCGGGCGAGTGTCGTGTCAGACACGGTGTCGGACACTGCACGCCTCTTTGAGGAGAAGTGTCGGTGCATCATAGTTGAAGAGTATCTATCCCACACTTTGATCCAAGTATTAATGATATATGTTGAAAAGAGAACTTATTCAATGAATCATATCATAATCATTCTGCAAATCCATGAAATAAAATTACACAATCCAACATACTAAACCTAAATCATAATCGATAAAACAAAATACAATCCATCCACAAGTAACAATCACATATTAACCAAGTAGCTTAATTTTCTTCTATTTGTATCACAGAATGACAGAATGTAATGGGGTTTTGTTATACAATGCACTTACATAGTGGGATAAAGAATTGATGTTGTTGATATTGTTATATCACAAAGTGAAATAGCGATATTGCACGGCCAAACAGGTCTTCCTCTAGCATAAGAAAACTACTGTAAGTTGCAGCTCATTCCATCCTAACAATGGATGGACTGGAGATTTTCACAAAAGGAGAACTATTGCTTGATTTGAATAGCATAGATTCATCTTCACTAGGCAAAGGAGTCAACACAAGCTGGGTATCATCAATATTTTTCTTCAAGTAAAACTTACCCTCAATTGCATCATAGGAGTCAGCTGTCCTAACCTCCTGAACTAAAGAGCATGGGCAACAACAAAGCCACTGAAAGCAGTCAGTTATATCAGGCTTATCACAGCAGAAATTGTTTGAAGGAAGGTTAAATCTCTTCCTCATCTTAATCCTCCAGAAACCACCATACAACAAACCAAAGATACAAAGCACAAATCCTGTGATACCCAACGCTTCTCGAACTGCTTCGTTATCAATATTGACTGCTGCCAAGTTGAATATGAAGAAAGGAGCAAGGCAAAATAAAAGGAAAGTTGCAGTGTGAACATACATGTTGCCAAAACCGAGCCGATCCATATTCCATCCAAACACACAGCAGCTACAGAATAATGAGAGGTAAGCTAAACAAACATAATCCCAGAAATCAAAGAGTCCCCCAATCCATTGCGGTGCGGTTTCGGCGACTCTACCGTCTTCTAACATTAAAGAGTTTCTCTTTTCAGGAGAGAAGGTAATCTGACTTGGTGACTCTTGATCAGTTTCTGTTGCATATTCTCTACTGAGAGGACTAAGAATGATGTATAAGCTTGCAATAGCTGCTGCACCGAATGCAATTGAAATGAGTATACCAACTCCAACAGCCGGTCGTTTCGATCTGGGGTAGCCTAAATTGATAGCACACAAAGCATACTGGGCAAAACAATTCAGATGGAGAAGGACAACCACAACAGAAATATGCATCCTCTCATTAGGCTTCTGCATTCCATTTTTGCAATATATTGTTCTTAGCATCGGAACATCCTTTGTTTTCCAGCGGAACAAAAGTGCAAGATGATAGAATCGCTTTGGATGTTGATAAAGACACATAAGAGTAAATAGAGCATTCAAGATTTGATTACTGACTTCAAACCATGTGTCTCGTTGGGATTTCTCTGGTAAAGCATCGTTCAGCATTCCAGTCATAACCAGAAAGAGGATAGCACCAGAAATAGCAACACAACTAAACCAAATAAAAAGAGCCATGTTCATAGGATCATTTATCCAGGTCTTGCACATAAACCGCAAACTATCCCAGTTTATTTTCCTAATGAAGGAAATATGAAAACGTTTGGAGGGACTAGAATTTTTTGAAGGAACTGAACCAGAATCTTTTTTTGTTTGATCCCAGAACCTCCAAGAATTTGAATAAGAAGAAAAACCATTGAACGAGCTGAACTTCAAAAACTTATTTCCTGGATGTTTACCATTTAAAACTTCCCGCTGCAATGTAATATTGCAAAGAGTTATTTGATCCGTTGCGTTATAACCTTTTGGTGTCGTCGTTCCTTGTTCTGCTTGATTTTGTGTAATGGATTTCTCATTTCCAGCTGAATCCATTTTGTTAAGCAGCAACGTAGATCCTAAAAGACTATTCAAAATGTTTAGAATTCTATTTCAGTTCCATGTGAAATTAGAAAAATCTTTTTTCTTGATAGTTCCATTTTATTTTTCCTACACATGAGGCGGATTTCTCAGAATAGAATTTCTCACGAATGTTTTGGTATGCCGAAGATGAAGTACAATCCTTTTGGATACTATTATCAAGTATTTGTGATAATAGCTAGCATAGCTATCAAGCCAAAAATCAAACCTGCCGAATGAGGAATGCATAGTTAAATAAGGCAATCATAATTTCTGTGCTGAATATGAAGATCATTAGGCAAAAGCATAGGAGATAAGCACTCAACCCCTGGCCTGATGCCACAATAGGCCCAAATGTTCAATTCGTAGAATTCAAAGGCATAACTCATGGATCCACCACAACAACAACATCAAGTCTTTATCCCACTGTGGGTTCAGCTACATGAATCCTTTTTATATATTGTATCAAGTTAAAAGTTAAATTCTCATTTAAATCTATTAAAAAAAAAGTCATTTCTAATATTTTATACCAAGTCTTTTTAGGTCTACATCTACCTTTCTTAACATAAGTCAAATCTAATACATCTACTTTCCTAACCGGATCATCGGAAGGCCGCCGTTTTATGTGACCAAACCATCTAAGGCAACTCTCTTTAATCTTATGTTTCACTAGAGCTACTCCAATCTTTTCACGTATATGTTCATTTCGGATCCTGTCTCTAAGAGTAAACTAGAGCAAGTTCAAGATTTCAGACACCAAAACAAGAATTTCAATGTATACAAGTTCATTTCAAGTTATACATAATAAAACAAAGATAACAATATATAGTATTAAATTGAGCTATAGCAAGAAACTACAAAAGATTTGTGCCAGGAAAAATGATAAACTAGAGCAATAGGAAAGAAGCATTAATCAGATAACCGCCAAATATGATAACATTACTATTTATACATGCTAGATAATAAAGATTTTCCACCTATAAGTACATATTTTTTCTTGAGATATACAGAATAGGAACTATATACAAGTTCAAGATTTTACGAATAATCCAAATTAGATTTTCTACACATATAGGTACAAGTTCATTTCACGCTATAGATAGCAGACGTATAGCAACTTACTAAATTTTAAAAAAATAAACTAATAAATAAATTAAAAAAAATATTCATACAAAAATAAGGGAAAAACTGCAGATATTTTCAACATCTTCAAAGATTTTCTAAGTTGTATATCTTCACAACCTGTATCAAGATTAATAACGCAGATATTAGCAGATAATTTATTAGTTGGCTATTCATTGTCAAATTGAAGGAGATCAAACATAAAGGATACCTATTTATAATTGTGCCTTCGAGATTTTTTGATTTCCCCAATTATATTCTGCCATACTTGTGTTCATAATTAACTTGGAAAATCATATATATTTTCAATCGTAAACAATCATAAGAAAGCTAACATATACAAAATTATCACCATCATCATAGTCTTATAACAATTATTTGAGGTTTGTGTTATAAATCCTCATTTATCATTCATTTATAATGAGTATTATTAATTATTATGAGATATTAAACATATTTTTCACAAATCATTTTGAACAACTTCAATCCTTGTAATCTTAAGTCTATTCATTTTACTTCTTTTTTTTTATTTATATAATTCATTTTTTGTGGGCTCCGAAAATTTGGCCCCGGCCTCTGCCCGACTGATACTTTTCTTTTCTTGGGCGAGGGAGTTTTAATGGAATAAGTTCCGGGTAAGGCTAGTCATCAATCAGATATTAATCAGATACTAATCAGAGATTTTGGGAAGGCATATAGGTTTGTAGAAAAGACACTAATCAGAGATTTCGCCCTCATTTTGTGAGAACATCATGATGTGAGTTCTAATTTCCTATAGGTGCAAGCCCCCATAGTTAATTACACCTCCGGATCACGAGAGAGAACTTTCGATTAAGGCTAGTCATCAATCAGATACGCAGAAATACATGGTATCTGACATATAGTAGCAGCCTAGATTTGGATTTAAAAATTTGAAGATCTGGGATGAGAAATTTGGGAAATTTTGATATTTAAAATTAGAAATTTTACCACCTTGCACTTAAAGCGGATGGTGGGGGAATGGATGAAGGACCCGATCAAGATCCCATAGTTCTGTCATCCCGAGCCATCGTGATCCCTGGTCTACTTAGTCAGGGGAGGTAGTCGACCCAACCTGATAGAAGGATCCTTGTCAGCAACCATGGGTTGCTTCATCCAAGGGTACCTTGTAGACCTAGGATGAATGTTTGTCTAACGGGACTAATTTAATTCCATCTTAGCTAACAAAGGGCTTTGTGCCTTATCGATCATATCTTATTGATTCATATCTCAAGGATTTGATGTCACTAAGGAACGTATTGGCTCTGACCATAACCAATATTTCGTTGTACCATTTTGCGGCAAAACCACTCGGTTTAGAGTGCCCTGGGTCATAACCGTTTATCCTGTGGTGCCATTTGGAGGCAAAATCACCTGTTAGAGGACACGTACCACGTCTTTAATGGCAAGAGATTATTTGACAATGGATCATAGTGATATTTTTGACTAGTCATTAGTTCTATGTGAGCTAAAGTAAATTATAATTTATCCACCCGATAAACTGTTGCGGATGGTGGATGAATTTTGTTTTAAGTTATTTGATGGATAGATTTCAATTTTTTTTTAATATCTGAAACTTTGGGATTTTTGGAGATTTTGAATTTTGGTGAGCATTTGGGTGAAATTTGAAAGTATTTGTGAACCCCTCCGGTTGAGATAAATATTCAACAAGGCCATCATCAAGTGTTTGGGGTCATTTCTATTTGTAGTTTAAACCTTGTCGACCCGACCAAGCTGTTGACTGAGGATCGAGTTTATCATAGGTTTTGTGTCTTTATTAGTATGAATATATTAAAACAAATATATCGGTTGCCACAACTTATCTTTATTTGATGGCTCGAATCCTGTCGACTTCTATTGATCCGCATAGAAGGATCGGGTTCGAACTTAAATTCACTTATTCACCCGCGCAGCATCCCTATACAACATGTGTGTACCTATAACACGCTCGCCTGGGTCCCATGCGGGTGTGTGATTATATTTACTCCTTTTGTATACCTATGTGTATACAAACTATAGTGCATGTGCGGGCATTTTGAAATATTTAAAAAGGTCTTCTATGACAGCTTGTAGAAATTTGCATTTTATGTAGTCACTTCGTACTTTACTTGTAAACAACATCTTAGGTGTAGAACAAATCTCCTACAATAGCTCATAGGAGCTCATTTGTCGCATTCTTTATGCATTTCACTATGATTTTGGCCCTCACGATACCTCCCCTACTACTATAGGTATGTATTCATTCATAGAGCAGAATTGACTACAGGATAATGCATTTACTGAAATCTTTCTGCATCTACCCATAAGTGGCATGTGGTACGTGCATCTATCTTTGTAGAGAGCTATTGCATATTTTTTTAATGCCACTCATAGGCATTTGCATTTGCATTTGATGTGATTATGTTGTATTTTGTTCTTGGATAGTATATCGAATGCATGGGATCTTCTACAGTATTTCGTAGGAGTTCATATACTTGCTACTATATTGCCCTTGTTTGTATGTGATATGCGACATATATTGTAGTTCATTACATGTTCATCATGTTTCACTTATGAATATCCCCTTCACTTTCATCACTTGCAATCTCAGATGCATTTGCTTATGTTTTGATGCTGAATCACAGTTGACTACGAAGACATTATAACATACATGCTTATTGTTGCGGATCTGTTTTCATGATTTATGATTTTGATAATAGCAAACACTCTTATTGCAAATACTCTTATTTCTCTACGACTGTCTTATTTACTGACATTGCAGGTCCACAAGATCATACTGTAATTTGAAACAAGCTCAAGATTCGGTAGACTAGGTCCGAGTCAATTTGTAACCCTTTTCCTTTCTTGAGTCTATTATATGTGGTGTAGCTCCTAATACTTTGTAACTTGGAAGATTCTCTGACTGTTCCCTAATGTTTACTGTTTTTGGTAACATCGTCCAGGACGATATAATCATCCTGGACGATCGGTTCAAAAGCATAAACCCTGATTAGGGCATCCTCATTAAAGCAGCTGTCATTATGCAAAAATATCATCCTGGACGATTTTGTATCGGTCAGGACGATAGGCTCAAAACAGAAAGAATCTGCCGCCAGATCTATTTAGGAATTACTTATTTTTAGAATTCGTTTAGGGGCTCGTCCAGGACTATAAAATATCGTCCAGGATGATCCAGGACAATTTTTTTCAAAATTAATCTGGCATTTAAGGAAAGCAATTATGACTTGATTGGATGATCAAATCGTCCTGGACGATCATAAGATCGTCCGGGACGATACGCTGGATGATTGGATATTGAACAGCTCTTTTTCAGGGCAATGTTCAGGACGATATTCCACGATTTGTTTTGATCATCCAGGACGATATATTATAGTCCTGGACGATATGAACAAATTTCTTCTGATCATCTCAAATCGTCCCGACTAATTAGGCTTATTTTGTACTGATCGTACAGAGCGATATTATTATCGTCCTGGACGATAAAGTCGGCATGCATTAATGAGCTCGTTTTGAGATCTTCTATTTAAGCTATGACATGACACTTGGTAACTGTCTTTGGCAGCCATTGTAGCTTCGTTCTTTCGGGGGAAACTTGAAGAGAGAGCTTGAAAGGGAGTGAGGAAAGGGTGGAATTTGAGAGAGGGAGAAGATCCTGTGAGGGGGGACTCAAGGGAGTGTGGAGGAGGTTCCACACGGTTGCTTCGGCAAGCTCGCACCTGAATACCATCGTGGTCCCTGGTCTACTTAGTCAGCGGAGGTAGTCGACCCAACCTGATAGAAGGATCCTTGTCAGCAACCATGGGTTGCTTCATCCAAGGGTACCTTGTAGACATAGGATGAATGTTTTTCTAACGGGACAAATTTAAATCCACTTTAGCTAACAAAGGGCTTTGTGCCTTATCGATCATATCTTATTGATTCATATCTCAAGGATTTGATATCACTAAGGAACGTATTGGCTCTGACCATAACCGGTATTTCGTGGTGCCATTTAGCGGCAAAACCACTCGGTTCAGAGTGCCCCGGGTCATAACCGTTTATCCTGCGGTGCCAATTGGAGGCAAAATCGCGGGTTAGAGGACACATACC